CTTATATACTCTTTTGGGAAGGGATGAGCCACAACCACCTGGGCTTGATTATCTCTTATGAGTCTGTCTCCATAACTGCTGCCTTCATTTCTCCGCCCTACATTGCCTGGCATCAGGGACAAACTCCCTTTGATCTTCCCCACTGCTCCATGCCTCAGGTGCCTCCTGGTGGCCAACCAGCCTCTCTGGTCCCTGCTCTGAGTTGGAACCCTGCCCAGGGTCCTCCACATCTTCCTTAGCCGACTCATAGGTTTCCTCACTATTGGAGACTATCGGCAGCTCCAACGGCTCCTGCTGGGCCACAACAGGCGGGTATTGAAAGATCTGTGCGATGACCCGGGATAAGGCACAAAGGCCACACAGCCAGCGGAGAGTTCTAACTCCCCTTTAATGCTCCAACTTTCCCCCAAATGCTCCCATGTTCATGGCAAGTCCCAGAGCAAAGCACACTCACACCCACACACAGCAACCTCTGGCTGCGGACAGTCCAGCAAAGCAAAGGAACAGGGAAATGAATCCACAAAGCGAGGAACAAGGTACTGAGTCCAAAAAGCAATGAGTCCACGAAGTGAGGAAGCAGGCAAGTAACCCTGAAAACGCCAGCCGTCTGCAACGGCACGCAAAACTCCACTAATTCAGCGTTGTTCCCGATAAACGCCCCTCCCCACAGCATCTCCTTAAATCTCAGTCCCCAGGCGTGCCTTGTGAAGAGGAGTGGGGCAGTCTCCTACCAAGTCGTTGGGTCGGCCTGTGCTGTTCCTGCATTCTCTCCACTCTCCGTGCTGGGGAATTAGGAAGGAGTGGTCCTTGCTCATCACCTAAGCTCCGTTGCTCCGCATTTCCACTGCTTGCCTTCTCTCAGTCATCCTCCCTGCCCTCATTCCTCCCTGCTAACAAGCCGCCCCAACCCTGAGGGCCGCCTAGGCTGTCTTGTCCTGCTTCTCCCCACATTCTTCCGACGCCGCCCCTCTGCAGATTCAGGCTCCAAGGGGGGCAGGGAGGGGGGGCTCCAAGGGGGGGCATGACAATCTGTTGAAGGTAATCACTGATCTGCCAGCTGTAAATTCTGATAAATCTACTGGAGGAGCACAAACGTTATTCCTGGCTTCAAACTAGGGACGATTTGGGAAATTATAAACCAGTAGATTGGACATCTACACTAGACGAGTGTATTTGTGAACATTTGTAAAGGAGCTCAGCAATTAACAAGGTTTGTCACAAACAAGTTATGCCAGATTAATCTTAACTCCCATTTTGAAATAGTATTAGCTTAATAGGGATAATGCTATGGGCACAGTATACTTTGATTTCAGCAAAGCATTTCACCAAGTGTCTCATGATGCTTTGATGAATAAAATGGTAAAATGTAGGCTAGAGGCTGCTACTGATTCATAACTGGCTAATGACCACACCCAGAGAGTCAGTACAAATGCTTCCACATCAGATTGGAAACCAGTCAAGAAAGATGCCACAGGACTCTGTCTTAGCTTCCAACATATTTGCTAATGATCTAGAGATGACACAAAACCAGGAGTGGATGCCATTTTAGAAGGTTCAGAAGCATCCCAGCGGGATTGAACCGTGGGACAAAACAAGCAGGGTGAAATTTCATTGGGAGAAATGTTGGAAAGTTGCGTCTTACGATTTATGATGGATGTATTTATGAGCGTGGCCATGATTTGTAACTAGTTGCTTGTATGTACAATGAGAACTTATGCACCGGAGACAAACCCTGGTGTGTCCAACCACATTTGACCAATAAAGAATTCTATTCTATTTTATTCTAAAAGGAAAAAGTCAAGTAATATAATCAAAAGGTCAAGTAAACTAATCAAGGAGAGAAGCGACCTAGATCTAAGGAGACATTTCCTAATCAAGGAGAGAAGCAACCTAGATCTAAGGAGATCTAAGGAGAACAGCGAGAACTATTAACCAGTGGAACAACTTGCCTCCAGAAGTTGTGGGAGCTCCATCGCTGGAGTTTTTAAAGAGATTGGACAGCCTTATGTCTGAAATGGTACAGGGTCTCCTGCTTGAGCAGGGGGTTGGATTAGAAGACCTCCAAGGTCCCTTCCCACTCTGTTATTCTGTTCAACTATCCAATAACAGAGACCTGATCATACAAAATATACATGAAAAGGATCTTGGTGTTCCAACAGATCACAAACTTGTGACCTGGGGGGCAAGAACTTGCGGTTTTGATTTGGGTGGGGAAAACTCCGGGTCCTTCAGAGTTGGGATTTCACCAGCTGTGCCAATATCACATCCTTAATAAATTCATACTTTGAGGAAACCCTGGCCTCAGAGTTTGGATTGCTTTGGGTCTGTTACTTGGAACCCTGACACTGAATATAAGCCCTCAGCGTGATGCAGCTGCTAAAAGGGCAAGTGCTATTTTGGGAGCAATGAATCCAGATCATTTGTTGTTAGTTGCAAAGTCGTGTCCGACCCATCGCGATCTCATGGACAATGTTCCTCCAGGACTTCCTGTCCTCTACCTTCCTCTGGAGTCCTTTTAAGCTCACGCCTGCTGCTTTGGTGACTCCATCCAGCCACCTCATTCTCTGTC